ATACCTGGTGCATATAGTATGATACCAGTTTTGAGAACAGAAAACAATTTCTGTATATTATTTGTGTATATTTAGGGTGTGTGTGTGTGTGTGTGTGTGTGTGTGTGTGTGTGTGTAAATCTGGAAGACTGTGCCCAAATGCTTACAGTGGTTATCTGAGGGTAATAGAATTAACAGATATTTTTTCCGCTTTCTTTTCATTTTTCTTCATTTTCTAATACATTACCATGGGAATGGATTATTTATGTAATGTTTAAAGTACCTATTATACCGGGGTACCAAAAATATGTATACACATGACTTGTATTCATCTTTTGTTATCAGTATATAGTATTATAATTTTAATACAGTTTTTTTTCTTTCTTAAAATGTGTATACATTTTTTGGGGGGGGCACCCTCTGTATATTATAGTGGAGACTATCATTACAATCTGAAAACTAGCATGGTGATTTTTGTTTTCTTTTTCTTATTTCTGGGGAGGGTAGTAGAAGGTAAGTTTTTATGCTGAGTTGCTTTTGAGAAAATCGGTTTTGGGGGCTGAGTGTAGAAGATATTTGTGGCAATTGTTAAGCCTTATCATGTCAATACAGATGCTCAGGTATTTTCTCCAAACAAAAGCTTGCATCAGAAGGACTGCATTGGGATCTCCTGATTTTTTTCACCCTCCTCTTTTTTAATGTGCAGGTGGAGAATGAATATGGCAGCTACTTCACCTGTGATTATGACTACCTGCGTTTCCTGCAGAAACGCTTCCGCTACCACCTGGGTAACGACGTGGTTCTGTTCACCACCGATGGGGCACAGAAGAAAATGCTGCAGTGCGGGACACTGCAGGGGCTCTATGCCACGGTGGACTTCGGACCAGGTTGGTGTTTGTAGTAACAGAAAATCCAGCTAAGGCCAAGCAGGCTTGGGATTTTCACTTGGCAATTGCAGGTGTTGTTTTACGTGGTGTGGGCATGTTGAATGAGATGCCTCACATTTTCCTTTATCAAGTAGCAGGTAAAATAGAATAATGAATAAAGCCCCCCTCTGTTGCAAGATTATTTTATTTAAGCTGATTTAGCCTTTAGGACATGAGCTCTGTTTTCATGACCTATGGAGTACAGTTCTCTTAGGGGCTAGCGAGCTCAGAAGTAGTTCTAGCTGTGAGAAGCTCTACCCTGAGGCAGTTCAGGGGAGACTCTTTCAGACTCTTTCTGGGACGCACTGCTCTTCTTTGCTCTCCCTGTCCCCCCAGTCATGGTTAGATGCTCGGGGCTGTATCATGGCCCTGTGAACTCTGAGGTCAGCGGGGTTGTGTGGGCCTCTCAGCCCAGGAGTGCAGGAACTTACCTTACGCTTCCATTACCTTTCCACACAACTCATAACACTATGAACTGTCACGGACCGGAGGTGGTTTGGTAGATGCTATCGTCTTCCCTGACTCGTCAGTGCTGTGTGAGCTACAGAGGTTCCACAAATGAAAGTTCTGGGTGGGCGGGCAGCGTGGCTAGGATGCTTCTGGCTATAATTCAGAGAGTCTTCATCAGGTTGAGAGCAGCTTTCATAAAGGACTCGACAGCGAAACGCAATGTGCAACGCTGAAAAGGATCTGGACTGGGCTTTTTCTTTGTTTCTTCTCTTTATGTTTTGCTATAAAGAACATTATTGGCACAATTCAAATCTTTGAATGTAGTCTGTAGATTAGATTAGATATTGTATCCATGTTAATTTCCTGGGTGTTTTTTTGTTTGTTTGTTTTATAATTGTACTGTGTTTATTTAAAGAATACCCTTGCTCTTAGGAAAAGCACACTGAAGTATTTAAAGGTAAAAGGCCATCATGCCTGCAATTTATTCTGAAATGACTCAAAAAAATACGTATACTTATATATAGGGAGAGAAACTGATAATGTACATATGGTAAAATGTTAACAGTTGGGGAATTTGGGTGAAGGGAATACGAGTTTTTTGTACTTTTCTCACAACTTCTCTATAAGTTTGAAATTATTTCAAAATAAAAAGTTATTATACCCACCCCCCAAAAAAAGACCAGCTCTTCAAGTAGCATAAAGACCCTGTTGGTCTTCCATCTGAGGAATAAGACTCCATGTGCATTGCATGTCCAACACTTGTGTTCTCCAGAGAAGGATGTATAGGAGACTGAAGTTGCCTTTTTAAAGAGACACTTCTACATTATCAAAAAAGAAAAGAACTGGCTTTAAGTCAATTAAGTGTTTCTAGAAACATGGTACATTGCTCAGTATTTGGTGATGAAATAACTCATCTACAAAGAGTCACACAGGAAGTGGCATGCTGGTTTCCCCCTGCTTTAGCACACTTCCCATCACAGTGATGAAAAGCACAGTATTTTTCTGTTGGGGGGAACAAATGGAAGATTATTACAAGTTTGTTGCAAGCATTATGTGTATGTGGGGTGACAGCACTATTGCTATTGTTGTGGGTTGAAGGACAGACCAGTGCAAGGTCAGTGTACCTGGGGCAGGTGGGTTTGTGGCAGCATCATTCATTTGTGTGGGGGAGGGGCATTGGCTGGGGTCAGATCACAGGAGGAGGCTCATAAGAAGAGTAACTAAAGATGTGAATGCCACCTAATGCTTAATAGTGAGAAATTTACAGCCATAAGGTAAATGAGATTACACTCTTTCTCGATCAGCACATTCTCTCCTGAAAGCTGGCCTTACAGAGAAGCCAAGGCCCATCCAGGGGCAAGGAGTAATCTGGAGGTCATGGCTGGTGTCATTTCCTTTCTGGGATACCTGCTGTGGAAACTGGATCGTGAAGTTTGGGGCCAGGATATCCTCTGCTCTGGTTGGGGAGACAGTATTCATGTTCACTCTTGCACTGATGTAAGGCAGCCATGACTTCTTGGTGGAACAACTCTTTCTCTTTTTAGAGGAGGAAGGGACAAAAGAAAACATGGGAAGACAAGATACAGGCATCCTAAGGGGATATTTCTGGAGGAAAAATGGAGAGCAGGTGGTCTGGAATGGCAGCTGATGTATAAATTAAAATTCAGAGGATACTCCATTATTCAGGGACAAACACAATTAGACCACATTCATCCCTTTGATTTGTTAATTAATTGGCAAATATTTGGGGGCACTGTTATTGTGTGTGATACTGTGTGTGTAAAGTGTCTGCGGAGCAGGCCTATCCTGTGGGGAGCGTCTGGGTCAACCAGATGTCCATGTGAAAACAGGCGAGCACAAGACGTGTCCGGGACATGAGGAAACCCAGGTGAAGAATACAAGCCTGTGAAGTGAACTCCCAAGGCAATGCCGTCAGGAAAGGCCATGGGGACCTCTACAGAGAGGAAGCAACGTTTTATGGTCCCCACACATCCATTAAATGGATGGTCTGAGTCCAGCCTAAAGCTAGCTTGGAGGTGTTCTAGGCTCATGGGAGCGTGGGGAAGGGCAGGGGCCTCAGGCTCAAGTCTTACAAACGGCTCTTTTTATTTAATTTCTTGTCATTCCTACGACGGACCTTTCCTCTCCCTCTTGTAATTTTCAGGTGTCAACATCACAAGTGCTTTCCTAACCCAGAGGAAGTATGAACCCAAAGGACCCTTGGTAAGAATTGGGAGTGAAGTGTGGAGAGACAGTTGTTGGGAGAGAGAGATTACATGTTGTAGAAGGATAGGAGTCGATCCTTGGTTTTTCTGGCTCTGGGCTCAGCAGCTGATTGGGTTGTGGGGACATCACCCTCTGGACACATGAGTGGCAGCAACAGCAATGCTCCTATCTGACACTGAGGCCCTGCACCGGAATGCCACAGAAGGGAGACTAACATGAATGCCCTGCCAGGCACCAGGCTCTGTGCTCTTGCAAACTTCATCTCGTCTGGTCCTCGTGACAACTCTCATAAGTAGTATAATTGTCCCCATTTTCAGTGAGGCTCAGAAAACAAGTCACATGCCCAGGGTTGTACAGCTGGAGAGTAACAAGGCCAGGATCTGAGTTAGATCTGTGTTTCTGGAGAGCTCTTTGCGACAGAGCTCCTTCATCTTTAATGTGCTTATGAATCACGTAGGAATCTTGTTAAAATGCGAACTTTTAAAAGTTAACTTTATTGGGGTAACGTTGATTAATGAAATTATTAAAATGCAAAGTTTAGGGCCAGCCGAATGGCTCAGTTGGTTAAGAGCTCGCTCAAGAGTTTGAGCTCTGAGCAACAGCAGTTCAAGTCCCAGCCCAAGCTGAGCAGCCGCTGACAGGTGGCAGGGGTGCCTCTTTAAAAAAAAAAAAAAAAAGCAAAGTTTGATCTTCTGGGGTGGGGCCTGAGAATCTGCATTTCTGACAGGCAACCGGGTGACCTTGGGATGTAGGTTTGCTGAATACACTTTGAGTTGCAGGGCTTTGTGGGATGCTGTGTATGTGGTCAGGCAGAGGAGGAGGAGACGGTGGCAAGGTCCAGGCAGGTATATATAGCTCCTCCATCCCCCACTCTGCTCTTCCCTTCCCTTCTCCACACTAGTTGTTGTAACTCGGCCCAGTTTAAGGGATTATGTCCTGTGCCTTCTCTGCAGCAGGTCAGGCTGCCCCACCTGTGTACAAACCTTTGTACAAAACAGCCCTTTCTGAACTTGGTCTCTGCTTTAGCGAACTGTGCAGCACCCACATTCACAGTCTTCGGGCGGAGCTATTTCCTGAGAAGAGGTAGCCACAGAACATGTCCAGATTTCTTTTTCCTTCTCTAGACAAAGGGTGTGGCATGCTAATGCCCAAGAGAAACATGAAGGGCTTGGAGCCTACTTTGCAGAATATTTGAACACGTGTACCTCGCTTTAAGTCAGCCTGAGATCTGAAAATCTGGATTCACCTAAAGGGTCAATTTGGAGCTGATTATATTATAACAATATTTTTGCCATCCAATTCTTTTGCCCAATAAACTTTTCTATCATATATAAACTGGGGATTGGTTAACAAAATTTTGGTACGGGTACAACTATTCAGGAATACCCTTATTGTCGGTGCCTGAGAGCTGAGTTTGGGCAATGCTGTTATTGGAAGTCCTCATTGATCCCCCAGCTCTGGGTTAAGCAGCTCATGTCAACTCCCCTTTCTACCTGTCCCTCGGTGGAGGACCTATAGGGTGATAGTTACAGGGAAGCCCTAGCCTTTGAAGGTCACAACTCTATCCTAAGCTCCATATCCCTTTCTCTTTTTAGGTCAATTCTGAATTCTATACTGGCTGGTTAGACCATTGGGGCCAACCTCACTCGACAGTCACGACTGAAGTGGTGGTGTCCTCTCTCCATGATATTCTTGCCCGTGGGGCGAATGTGAACTTGTAAGTGTTAATTTCTGGAGGGGAGGGAGCCCTGCACAGCTGTGGACTCACAGTGAAGTATCATCTGTTCTCCTGTCTCCTTGTAGGTATATGTTTATAGGTGGAACCAATTTTGCCTATTGGAACGGTAAGAGCAATTTAACATTTGTTTGTAGATGCTCATACTAGAATGTTTCTGGTGCTTCATTTTGGTGGGTGTGCCTACAGACAGTTTTTATTTTCTATTTTTGTTTGTCTTCTCCTAAACGTTCTAATATGTCAGAATTGCCTATATAACTTAAGAAATCATTTTTCTTTCTAAAAAATTTTAAGGAGCATAAATTATGCATTTAGAAACCTGACTATTGTAAATCAGGCTGGCTGGGCTGACCTCAGCCACAGTCTCTGGTGACAGCTCACTTGTGCATAGGTTCTGCTGCGGGTTGTTGTTTTTTTAAACATCTTGTTTTGTTGACATATAACTCACATACCATAAAATTCATTATTTTAAAGTGAACAATTCAGTAATAGTTGTATAACTATTATTACTCTCTAATTCCAGAACACTTTTATCACTTGAAAAAGAAACTACCCACTCTCCCTCCTCCCAGCCCTGGGGAACCACTAGTTTACTCTCTCTCTCTCTCTCTCTCTCTCTCTCTCTCTCTCTTTCTCTCTCTCTCTCTCTATGGGTTTGCCTATTCTAGACATTTCATATAACTAGAACCATACAATATGTGGTCTTTTGTGTTCGACTTCTTTCATTTAGCATAATCTTTTCAAACTTCATTCATACTATAGCATGTGTTGGTACCTCATTCCTTTTCATTGCTGAAATAATATTCTATTGTACAGATGTAGAACATGTGGTTTATCCACTCATGGGTTGATGGATATTTGGATTGTTTCCACTTTTTTGGCTATTCTGAATAATGAATTGACATTGATGTATAAGTATTTGTTTCAATCTGTTTCAACTTTGGGGGTGTATACCTAGGAGTGGAATTGCTCGGTCACATTGTAACTCTATGTGGAGAGTTCCAGGAACTGCTGTCGTGTTTTCCAAAGCAGCTACATGATGATTTTACATTTCTGTATGGTCTGTGTGTGTGTGTGTGAAAAATTATGACAAATTCTTTTCATTGCTATTGATTTTTACAAATACAAAGCATGCAATATTGGCCTTTCTCTAAGCTTCATCCTCCACCTCTCTTCTCATCTGTATTTTTCTCTCTGAATCATTGAGGATGTCCTACTGTTAAGTTTTGGAGGCTTTGTTTGTGCCTAAATCTCCTAGGATCTATAATTGGATACTATCTGTGCTTAATGAAGTTTCTCCTTTCAACTGCAATCTTGTGCAGGGTGCGGTGCGCAAGGAGAATGCTTTGCTTACACATATTATTAATGTTATTACTATTATTAGAGCCAAGAAACAGAGATATTGCAAAACTCAAATGTGTCTGTTTCTGGGATTAATGTGCAAGGTTGATAATTGAAGTTTTAGATCACCATCTCTGTGTGTCTGTCTTCTCATTAGAAACACTTGAGACCTTGGGATGCCTTTTTCACTCAGTAGCTAGGAATTCCAATTATCCAATCCAGGAATGAAGACCCATAATTTTTGGAACTTTACTATTCATGAAATCATTTTTAAATATCTTACTGTTCTACTTAAAACAATAGTTTCTTTTTCAAAAGTTAGATAATAGAAAAAATTACCACTGAGAAAATAGAAATTGTCTTTAATCCTCTCCCTGGCTCCTGACCCTTCTAGAATTAATAAAAGCCCCTTTTCCACCTGTGTGTTCCCAATTAGTCCTTATCTGGGCTACAATTATTGACCCACTTTACAGATAAGAAAAGCTGGGTACAAAACAAATCCACGTGTTTCCCATTCAGCTGGCAGGATGTGGAGCCTGGATTCAAACTCAGGTCTTGGAAAGCTGGTCACTGCCCTTTGGATAATCCTTGGCAGACTGAAGCCCCTGCACCAGTCCCCTAATCAGCTCTTCTTATGAATGCCAGGCCGCCCTGACCTGTCACGTGGCCTGGTCTCTGTGGGGAAGGGAGGGAGGGCCAGTCTGTGCTTCTTAGCCACTGTGCTTCAGGCCGGCTTCCCAGAGCAGAACTGTGAGAGAAAAACATCGTGAGCTCTTTGCTCACCCTACCCAAGGTGGGTGCACATGTCTGTGCAAGTACGTGCGCCACACTGTGTCCCCATCTGTGTGAGGGCCTGCTACGGGCTCCAGGCTGTCCTGTACTTCTCACACAATGCGGAGAGCTGAGGCGTGGTCAGCCTTGCCATTTCTTTGCCTTTTTACCTCACACTTTCTGATATGGCGAGAAGAGGCGTGAGGGGGCACCGACACTACGGTGCTCTGAAAACATCCGGAGAAAGATTCTGCTGATGGAACTAGAACAAAGACTTAGTTTGCCAGTCCATTCTTTAACCCACTGGCCAGCTTCGCAGCCTGGGTTCCCTTGGCCTATAAAGTTTGCTTCCGAAAGCCGCAGATGTTCAACTCAACTTGGCCACCACTTATAGAGCTCCTCTTCTGTTCTGGCTGTGGTGGTGGGGGGGAGAAGGGGGCATGGGAGACTGCGCTCACGTCAATGAGGCCACACCTACTTCTAAGGTGCACACAGTCCGCAGTGGAGCGAAGAGTGAGAGATGTAACAAACACAGAGTAGCACACTCACTGCCACTTTAGAACTAGAGAAGGAACCACAAAGAAGGTGAGCTCCTTGCCAAAAGGGATGTGGTTTTCTTTCTTTCCTTTTTTTTTTCTTTTTCTTTTTTGCACCTCACAGCAAAGGATGTGTTTCATAATATCATATGTATCCCCAGAGGTGGGCAGACCTGTTGGTAGGCAGCTGTCTCTGGTTAATAAGAAATGGGGGGAAGTACTATGACTAGATTAATTCAATAGATTGAGTGGTTTCGAAATTTCAAAATGTAGATTCTGTGCAGAGAACTAACGAAAGAGAGTCTTGACGGGGATGACCTGATCCTTGGCCTGGCTCTTCTGTCAGTTCACCCTTAGCAGGATCACTCAAGGTGGCTCCATCATTTGCGAGCTGTGGGACCATGCGAAGGAATTTGTTACTAACTCATAGGTGAACGCTCAGAGTTTGTGCCTCATTTACATAAAAATTAGGTTGGAAATGATTGTCCTAAAACAACTTTATTCTTTTTTTTTTAATTAAAGTTTATTGGGGTGACAGTTGTTAGCAAAGTTACGTAGATTTCAGGTGTGCAATTCTGTAATACATCATCTATATATCACATTGTGTGTTCACCACCCAGAATTAGTTCTCCTTCCATCACCATATAGTTGATCCCTTTTACCCTCATATACCACCCCACCCCCCTTATCCTCTGGTAACCACTAAACTATTCTTACACACTTGCATTGCAAAATGTTCTCTGGAGTAGAAGAGAAAGGGGTGGCACAGAGCCTTGCTGGTCTGCAGATAGAAGCATCAGTGTCACCTGGGAGCCTGTTAGAAATGCAGTTTCAGGTCCCACCCCAGACCTGCTGACTCAGAATCTCTGGCAGGGTTTAGGAATGTGTTTTAACAAACTCTCCATGTAACTGTCATGCATGGGTCCATTTTATCAGTACTGGGATGGGGTTACCGCCCAGCATTGCACACAGTCTCCTACCTATGAATATCATCTGTGACAAAGTTGAGGGCCTCCGTTCTAGACTCTGCCCCCTGGGCAATAATTGCAAGACCATTTGCTGTTCTAGCCTTTTTGTATAGACAGTATTAGCATTATTTATTGGTCTCTGTTGTGGGTCCCATTTCCTGGGAAACAGACTCTGAGATCACCCAGCAGGAAGTTTAACAGGTTGCACTCTCAGGAGCACACAAACACCTAGAAGAGAGTGTGGGAAGCAGGAGTGAGCAGAGGGAGACGCTAGACTGTGATGCAGTTTCAAAGGTGGCTCAGCCAATTCTAGAGGAGCTCTGGACCTGGGATGGCCCTTTGAAGCAAGGGGATTGGGTTGTTATGTCCCCACATTGGTCAGTCGTTGGATGTGGGCTATCCTGAGAGGGTTGTAACCATGGGCCAGGCAGCTCAGCAGAGGCCAAAGACCAGAGAGGGATATACCTGAGAGCCATCAGCAGCCAACACTCCCGGCAGCCGGGGGAGCTAATGAGTGCCTTGGTACTGATGGGGATGCCAGAGGCACGCCACAGCATCCCTGATAGTCTTTGCAGACATTACGAAGGTCTTAAGGTTACATTTGAATCTCTGTGGGTTAATGTGTGTGTGCAGTCATCACCCACTGTGTTTGGTCTGATTGCCCTCAGTTATTTTCTGCTGGTCTTTGGCCCAGTCATCTGTGCGTCCACCAGTGACCTTTTCTCAGCCACACAGTTAGAGGTCATGAAAAAGTTCACAGGTTAACAGTCCTGGATGTGGTCATGCCATAAGCCCAGCCATGGCTGGTTGTGAGATGTTGAGCAGGTTTTGCGGGAAGTTTCAGATTCTCTGCTTCTTTAGTGTCAGTGATGTCTGCTGGTGTCATCGCTGTGAGCTTCCATTGAGAGTGGATGGAGAAAGCGCTTTCTAGACACAAAGGTGCTTGGCGCGGGCCTCCTATAGGAAGAAACTCGTTTCTCTAAACCTTGCATCCTGAGGGCCACCTCTGTGTCACTTAACAGTTGGTTCAAATGTGTCCTTTATTTTCTCCCTCCACAATGTTAAGGCCATGAATCCCAAAGAACTTGTCCCAGGCGAGGGCCTTTGGTAGTAACCAGGGGCATGTTTGTGTCTTCTAGGGGCCAACATACCCTACCAAGCACAGCCCACCAGCTACGACTATGATGCCCCGCTGAGCGAGGCAGGGGACCTCACCGAGAAGTATTTTGCTGTTCGAGACGTTATTCAGAAGGTGAGTGCTTTGTATGAGCTGCAGTGGGCTGATCTTAGAGCCTGCCTTGGACTCACTGTGCTCTGTAGACTTCCTAAAAGGACGGATGAAGGGAAGCATCAGGTAGACTTGGCCTTGACACTTGGTCCCCACCTGATTAAGAGTGAGCCTGTGAACAAGTTAGTCCAATAGTCTATTTATTTCTAAAAACAGACAGACAGCACCTGGTTATATTGTAAGAATTAAAAAGAACCTGTGTAAGGTATCCAGTATAGCCTTGACACATATGTTGTCCAATAAGTGGTAGCCATTGCTATTGTTTGTACTAAACGTAAGAAAATGTGCGTCCACACAAATAGCTGAAGCGTGCAGAAGAGAAAAATCTGTGAAAACTGGAAGCATGGTGCAAATGTTAGCTGTCAGCAATGCCTCATTTTTCTATTTGGGTCAGTGTCTGCTGTTTCCTTCTGTCCTACCACCTGAACTGCTTAGTCCTGCTAACAGCGTGACCTTTTGAGGCATCTAAAGCGCCCAGGTGGGGTTTCCTGTATCTCCTGTGGGTTAAAAAAAAAAAAACCCACAGTTTTTCTGCTCAGTCACCTGAGTTTTGAAGTTAAAAACAAAGGTTTTCTGCCTATAAATGGTATAGACTTTTTTTTTGTTTTAAATAATCTACAGTCTCAATTTAAGCCTAAGTGTTAAAACCTATATTATGAAATATGTTAAACATACTGAAAACTATGATCTATACTTATCTAGGAATTTGTCTAGTCATCTACATTTTCAAATATATGGTTAAATGTTGCTCGTGTTATTTTTTTAATTATGAGTTTAACCACTGCAGAACTTGTAGTGATGACTCCCAGGCTTCCGCGTATGTCTGTCTGTTCTCTGTTTCAAGGCTCTCTGTTCCTATCTTTATTATTTCCTTCCTCTATTTGAAGCTTATCTTTTTAACCCAGCCTTTTAGCTTTTCTAATGTAAATATTCAAGGTTATACATTTCCTTCAAGTACTACTATAACTCCGTCTCATAAATTTTGATATGTATTGTATTTATAATAGATTGCTTCCAAACGTGCCTGTTTTGATTTCTCTTTGACCCTAGAAATATTAAGAAGTTTTTCAATTATTAAACATACATTTTTTTTTTTTTAGTTTGTTGGTTTCTAACATATTTACATTCTGGTTAGCAAATGTAGTCTGTATGATACCAATCCCGTGAAATTCTTTGAACCTCATCTTAGAGCCTGGCACATACCAATGTGAACAAATACGCCACGTTTTCTTGGAAGACTATAGGTTTTATAATTGTTGGATATCATCTATATACGTGTTCATTAGATTAAGCTTATTAATGATGCTGTTGATATCTTTGATCTCCTTTCTAATTTTTGTTAGTTTATCCTATCATTTATTTAGAGAGCTGTATTTATATATTTTTCCTTGTAGTTTGGTCACTTTTTGAGGCCATGTTATGAGGCATGCAAATTGAGAATTAAATCATTTAATATCCTTATGTGTTAATACTCTAATAATGCTTTTTGCCTTAAAATCTTTTTTTGTCTGGTACTAACATAGTTCATCTGCATTCCTTTGGTTAGTATTTACCTGGTATATCTTTCACAGTGCTTTTATTTCAACCTTTTTATATCTTGGTTGTTGTTTTTTATGTATCTCATAGTAGGATTTAGCTGGACTTTTTAAAAATTTGGCTTGAACATTTTTGTCTTTTCACTGATACATTTATTCATTCTCATTCATTATAATTCTGGATACACATCAATTAATTTCAATCACCTTATTTTATAATAATCTGTTTGTCCACCGTTTCTGTTCTGTCCTCCCTTTGTTACTTTCTTTTGAATTGTTTGAGTTCTTTTTTTCCTTATTTCACCTCCCTCAAACTCCCCCTTGCCGCTCCCCCCACAACCCCATTTGGAAATTATTCACTATATTTTTTTTACTTTAGTGGTCATCTATTAAAGTGTAAAATATGTACCCCCAAAGAGCACAATTCATAAATGTAGAGCTCAGTGAATTTATACAAAGTGAACATACCCCTGTAACCAACACACGGCACCCCAGAATCCCCTCATTCTCCTTTCTAGTTTAACCTCCCACCTCCAGAGTTAACCACCATCCTGACCTCTGTCACCATCAGTTAGTTCTGCTTTATAAAAATGGGTTCATACAGTATGGGCTCTTTTATGTCCATTTCTCAAAAACTTTAACATTCAGCTTTAACTTATGAAAATTTAAAAGTAATCAGTAATCTTTACTTCCTCCATATAACCAGAACTTTATCTCATGTTAATTCCAGTTACATTCCTCTTGACTTAATGCTATTAGTATCATGTACTTTCCTTCCCTTGGGTTTCGATTTCATGTTTTCTATTTCTCCTTTTTAAAAAATAAATCTATAAAGCATTACTACAATATATTCATTTCAGACATTGTTTGACTTTACCCACATTGTTCATGTATTCACAAATAATTCCACAAATATTAAGCAAGTTCCCTATATGCCAAGTAAGGTTTTAGCTGCTTGGTATATATAGGTCTCCTTGAGAAAATGAAGCTGGAACAAAGATTTTAAGGTGGTGAGACAGCCGTGTGGCATATCCAGGGCCAGAGCAGTCCATGAAGAATGCAGCCAGTGAAAAGGTGGGAAAGTGCATGGCTTTTTTTTTTTTTTTTTTTAGCTGAACCATCCTGCCACCTGTTGGCAGCTCAGTGGCAGCTCAGCTCGGGCTGGGAATCAATCCGGCGACCCTGTTGCTCAGAGCTCGCACTCTTGAGTGAGCTCTAAGCCAACTGAGCCACTCAGCCGGCCCTGTGCATGGCATTTTTAAGGAGGCTGGTGTGGCTGGAACCCATTTAGTGAAGGGGAGAGTAGTAGGAGATGAGTTCCAAGACAAAATAGGGAACTGACTCCATGAGGCCTTGTAGACCATTGTAAGACTTAGGCTTTTATTCTGAAGGAAATAGGAATCCATTGTAGAGTTGAGCAGAGCCGTGAAAGGATTACTCAGGCTAGATTCTGGGACGCAGGGCAAGGGTAGAAAAGGAAAACCAATTAGAAGGCTCTTGCAGCCATTTAAGTGAGAGGGGACTGTGGCTTGTGAAGGTAGTGGAAACTGGTTACAGTCAGACTATCTTACGACAGTGGAGCTGATAGAGCTTCCTGAGGTGGAGTGTAAAAGAAAAAGTCAAGGTACACCTGAGCATCTTGAAGGATGGAGTTGCCATTTTGGAGGGGGCAGGGAGGTCAGGAATTCAGTTTTGGACGTGCTGAGTCTGACTTGTCTAGTATACATCCTAGTAAAGATGTAGAGTAGACAGATATATGAATACAAAGTTTGGGACAAAAGTCTAGAATCTTTGCCCTAGTACCACACTTCCTTTATTCTTTACTGTGTCTTGCATCTTTCCATCTGACATCACTTTCCTTCTACCTGAAGGAAACTCTATATTCTTTAGAATTTCATTTAGTGAGTCAACTGTCTTAATTCTTGTTTGTCTGAAAATGTCTTTTTTTACCCTTATTGTCAAAATGTAGTTTTTCTAGATTGACAGTTATTTTCCCTCAGCATACTGACTTGTGGTTTCTATTGTTGCTGTTGAGAAGTCAGATTATTCTCACTCTGTCGCTCCTTTGAAGGCAATCTGTCTTTCCTCTCTGGCTGCTTCTAACATTGTCTGTTTATATTTGATGATCTGTAGTTTCTCTGTGATGAATCTAAGTGCGAATTTTTTTTATTTATGCCTTCTGGTTATTTTTGGAACTTCTTAAAATTTGTGGCTTGGTACCTTTTTTACTAGTCCTGAAAAGTTGAAGCCATTATCGCTTCAATTATTTACTTTTACCCTATTTTCTTTCTCTCTCTCTTTTTTTTTCTGGAATTCCAATTACATGTTAGTTAGACCTTCTGATCTCCTTATCTCTTAACATCTTTTTCTCTCCTTGTGTCATTCCAAATTATCTTCAGATCTATTGGTCTTCAATTCTGTTTTCTCTTTGGCAGCTATAAATTCTTAAGCGAAACCTCTCCACTGAGTTATTACGTTATATTTTTTATTCTAGAAGTTCACATTCACACGTTTAAAGCTACTTGGTCATCTTTAAAGTCTCTTGTTCTCTCCTTATATGTATATTCTCTTCTTTTCTTTAAACGCAGTAAAGATACTTCTATTACATATCTGTATTTGATAGCTCCAGCACCTAAAGACTTTGTCTAATTCTGCTCCCTGTTGCTTCTCTGAGCTCTTGCTCACGCCTTTTTTATTTGTGTATGTTGTGATTTTTGGCTGTGAGCTCAATTCTTAGGGATTCTTTGAATGAGATAATGAACATTTGTTATTTCAATTTACTAAGTTTATTGGTGTTCTGGGAAAAACTGAAATTATATGTGTATGTTTAGTGTGCTATCTCAACCTAGATGATATCCTTCTCTTTAATGGCTACTTGCTATTATACTGTTTAGATTTATTGCCATTTACTTACTCAGTGTCTAATTGATGGACATTTAGATTATTTTCAACTTTTAAATGTATACCAGTTCAAGGAAAACTACAGGAAATTTTCTTGAAATGGAATTGATGAGCCAAGGTTATTTGCATCTAACCTTTTGATAGATATTACCTAATAGCCTTTAAATACAATTGTGTCAGTTGACTTTTATTTCCCCACACTTTTACCAATACTATGAATTATCAGACTTTTTACCTTGACATTTGATATGTAAAAAGGATAGTTTTAAAAGAAAACACTCATTTCTTTAGTGATGAGTACTAGAGTTTTACACCCTTTCATATACGAATCATCCATTTATGTTTCTTTTTCTATGAACTACTTACTCGGTTTTTTTCACAGCATTTCTCTTGGGCTATTTGGCTTTTTTTATAATCTGCAAGAGTTCTATTATTGTGGCATTTTTTTCCACAGTTTGGGGGTTTCTTTCTTTATTTTTTTTTTCTGTAAAAAAAATCATGAATTTTAATGTTGTCAAATGTATTACT